ATTTGCCATCTGAATATTTGAACACTGACTGTGAATTTACGGTTTTTTTAACGTATGATTTCAACTCACTGAAGCCTTCTTACTCTCAAGAGCTGAATTTGCCTTTACTTTACTGTCAGTCGCCTTCGCGTCTGTGCTGTTCATCCGAAAATCGCCCAGCTGATTGTTTCTTCATGCAGGTACCATTCGGTGATACGTGGCATCTCTCGACTCACCATAATGCAAATGACATGTCTTTTCCAGCACCAAAGACTGGAGAAAATAAACGTTCAAGAACACAACAGGTGTCCTATAAAAGCAGAATTTAGGGAGAAGGGGCTGGAGGAGGAATGAAAATAGGAGAGTCGAGAACAAGTTGGAGATGAGGAGGGGAAGATAGAAGGATCGCGGATTGCAATAATTATAGCAATTTCAGCAAGCCGGTAATCGATGCATGCTTCTTATAAAAGAAAGTAATGAGCCCAATACAGTGATAGGCGGTATACCGCTGCATCGGGAATATTGCGTTGTTTATGATGCGAAAAATCTGAAGATTGGTTTTGCCTCTCCATTGGTCAGCAGCGGTGATTCTTTCAACGGTGATCAGCAGTGGGTAGATGTTTGATTTTGAAGTAAAAAAGTGTATTATAATAAAACTTCGAAAGAGTAAATTTGAATCAGTTTTATTGCCTACAAAAATTACCAACAATTATCGGCATATGGACCCCTGCTAACACTGATATGCACTCACACACCAAACGCAGCTACGCCAGGCTCTTCTATCCGAAACTACCTAACTCATGCATGTAGCCATTACATTTTCAGGTACATGAGCTACCTCTTGGGGAACTGTTCGAGTAGACGGTTTTTATTCAATCATGTTTGTTTAAATTCAATCTAAATTCAATCATGTTTGTTTACTCCCGATAGCCCTGAACAAATTGCTGAAGGTGTATGTAAAGCAGCTTCTCTATGTGCAAATCTCTGGCTTATGGCTGTGGCGCGTAATCACTTCCTGGCTGATGCATAAGTAGATTTAAGTAAATAAAACTAACAGAAAAGAAGCATGCACACAAAACCAGTAATGCAAATGTTGACCGGAAGAAATGAAAGCTATTTATGCAAACATATATGTATATGTGACAGTACCAGTGAGGAAAACGTTGTTTTGGTAAATTTAATTTCTATATGTCTGACTCTAGTTTCGATTTTTCGGAGATTTTTTTACGTTGTTTGGAAAAGGGAGCCCGAATTAGATGCAGTGTGTGTAGATGAGATTAATCTTTGAACTTGCAATTTCTGACTTAAAATCGTAGAATAATTGCTTGTCTGATCCCAGTACAAACATATCGTCCCCGATGAACACACTTTATTATTTTTGTTGCACAAGAATACGTGAAATTTTTCCGGCAAAAAAGCAGACAAATTTTTAACTACGAAGCTGGGCGAAGTATAAATTGCTGATTGTCCTGATCTCCATGATTCACCAAATTTCTCAGTGTCACAAATTTTTGCGTGCCTAGTAATGGTTCCTTCGACTCGCCGTTATTTTTCATCGGAATTACAACTCGGCTCTCATTCTTTAGCCCAATCAGATGTCGAATTATTATGTAACTCGGACCATCGGCTGCTCGAGCCAACAAAACGCGTCGATTATACTGACGTCGGTGCAGAATTTCTTCCAGGCTGTCTTCAGGAGCCTCCCGAAAATCGCCTACTGCTTGGAAGTCTGTGACATGTTTGTACTGGGGCTGAAACAACGGAGCTGTCTTGTCTGCATAGTAGACTTTTGGCGTCTCTAACTTTGAAGCTTCGCCTTCTGCCGGATTTGTTTCCTGAAATTCTTGTTTATAAATAAATTAAAATTACTAGAAATACCAAGCCACCCGGCTATCAGTAGTATAAGTATCCCATGTAATGATGTTATTGGGCGGAGCCTCAGCCCCGGGTTGTGCGCCTCCTCTTAGATAAGACAAAAAGCTAAAATTAAAACTAAATTAAAACAAAAAAGGACTAAATTATTGGTTAAAAATCAAAAGCTAAATTCGAACATCTTTAAATAAAAGAGGATGGGGGCGTGGCCAACGAGTTCAATCATGCCTCTATAAGCTTTCAAGCGCCGCCTTTTTCGTTCCTCCAAAACTACTGGCTGAAACGAGTGGAAGAGTAAGAGAGGGAAAGGAAGATGGGGAGGGAGATGAGCAGGGAGGCGGCATGATCAAAGAATCCATTCACTGGCACTTAAATTTTTCAAACACGCCCCTTTCTGACTCTTTAAAAATATTGGTCGAAAAAAGTTGCACAGCCCAGGCTCTTACCCCAAAATAAAAATGCCCTGAAAGAACCTTTTAAAAAATCCATATGTGATATGGGGTGTCAGAAGAACCGAAAAAACCTTTAAAGTCAAGCTACATCACAAAAATTTTTCTGGCCAGGCTTTCTGTTGCGCGATAGATTCGATGCCAATTTACAGATTTGATGCTAAAACGCCGTATACACTTTACTGGGCTTGTACATTAATTTTTAGCAAACAAATTTACAGATTTTTATGCGTTTTTGCATTTATGTAAATTGCAAAAACGCATATTGGGAAGAGGCTGTCTGTGT